ATTGTAATTTTATTTTAACCTCTTATTTATTGACAAACCTTAAATTAGAACATCATACATTGGGGAAATATCTTTTATTAGACAGGAGAATAACTTTACCTTATTCATAGCAGTAAATGTTCTAATTCACTGATTCGAGCCGTCATTGTGAGTAGTCAAAAGAAGTAAACTCTCCAGATCAACTCTCAGACATAATTTATATGAAAGCCAGCAGTACAGTGTAAGTATACACTCTGTATACTTGTTTTCTTAAAAATATTGGGCAAAGTGAGTTGTTTTATAGTATAAAGCGCAACTTTGGGAATTTTTTTAGTTTGAAGTTTACTAAGTGACACTGATGAATGAGAACATACTAGTAAGAGCTGGTCAAATAAATTTAAATAGTCAATTTGAATGAAGTTAACTTATGAGTGACAATTATTTTTGTTTGGTTCAAGACCCTCAGTGGTGAAAGTACTCCCCTTCCACCAATGTGGCCTGGGTTCAAGTCCCAGACCAAGGTTGAGTTTGCAGTTGGTCCTCATTCTTGTGCGGAAGATTTAATTCAGTGTCCTTCAGAATTTCTCCCTTCACAAAAACCAACATTTCAAATTTCAGTTTGATCTGGAAACAGTGGACAAGAAGAGCTACCAGGAGGAATGTCCACTGCTAAATCCCCTTATTGTTCTTATTATTACTAGTAGTAGTAGCAGTAGTTGTATTATTTAAACACTTATTTCACTTTTTTAAAATGCAACTCTGTGGTTGCCAGTACATTACTTCAGTAGAACACCAAATCCATAATGTAATTTGCATAATAGCATCTGGAAGTGGAAGGCTTAACATAAGTAACAACAAAATAACACATCTATCTTAATTTTAGTTTTAGTTTTGGGTTCTTCTGTTTTTTAATTCAAAGCTCAAGAAATGTGTCTTGGAGTGTAGCTAAAAATTAACCTTCTTTCTTATTCCACTCATAGTTAATACTATAATATCTGCCTTTGTACAGGAGACCAAATCCTTGATATTAATGGTATTGAAGTTGGTGGCCGTTCCGTTTCGGAGATAAGTGAAATAATCAAGGGAAGCCCGGAGCTGGTTGTTTGCACAGTGAAACCATTCTCTGATTACCGTTACTGTGACACACACTCGAAGGGTCATACAGAATATGCCGAAATAGACTTGGACTCGCTGAAAGCTAAAGGCAATGATGACAGCAGCAATTCTTCGCAAGATGACAGCTCTGACAGTCCACAGGAATCCAATGATCAAAAGATACATGGTGTTAATGAAAAGAAAAGACACTCACTGCCAGCTGTCTTGCCAGACACTCATTCCACTAAAGAATTGCATAAGGGAGACACTGTCGATTATCTTGAGCTAAACTTTCCTCAGAATGATCGCCCTCGTGGCAGAAGCGACGTATCACGTTCCCCACAAGTCCCTCACAGAGCCAGCAGAGATCGGAACAAGCCACCTGCTTACATAGAACTTGAGTTCAACAAGAAGGAAAATAAGTTTCAAGAGGTTGGCAGAGAAAGTTCTGATCCTAAAGCAGGAGATCGGAAAAGTTCTTCGCTACCAAGATCATGAGAAATCAGAGCTGTTTATAACTGCCTTTGTACAGGAGTTTAATTCTCTCATTCACCATGAGTTACTGGACGAATTTTTCCCTATAAATATCAGAACACTTTCAAGCAGAAAGGAAAAGAGAAGAGTGAAAAATATCAAACAGGCAATATTGTTTGATGTACAAACAAATTCCTAGAGCTAAGAATTATAAGAAATACAGGGTCATCATTAGAAGCTTGTAGGTGGCAGGAATGGGCTGGCTGTTAGGTCATTTTGTGCTGGCTACTTTGTGAAATGTGACCGAGGACTGAAATTGTAATTCTAAACTCAGTGTCTGGCTTAAAGAGTTTATCAATATGTCCTAGAATGCTTGTAGTCATGTCTTGGAGAGTTTCAAGTTGCAATTTTTTCCAGGAAGAGAATGCATCCAGACCCCCTTAGAAATGTTGCTTTGCAACTTACCATGCTTGCTATGCAAGCATCATTTAATTCAGCCCTTTACTCAGTTCAGATTATACATCTATTGCATTTGCTAATGATAACCCTGGAAATCTAAAGGAAACGGTGTGGACAATTCATATTTAGATCCGGAGAGTGGAAGTGCTCAAAAAAAATAGGTCGGGCACCAAATGTAATGGCCAAAAAAAATTGGCTTAAAGTTGGTTAAGAGAAGAGAGTGGGGTTCCAAAGAAGAAAATGGTTCACTTGGTAGCTGTAATGTGTGCCCAATTCAGCTATTTCTTACACGACTGGGGCAGTCAAGAGGGCAATAACTAAAATCAACCAATCAAAATGCTCTATTGCCGGTCAATATTCTCACAATATTGGACTGGGCACTGTCCCAAATGGTCCCGAATGATACTGCTCTTGCATCCCTTTGAACTTCAGTCGTATGATAAATCTCTTATCCACTCGGTCTGTACTGTCAAGACCTCAGGCCAATATTCTCCCAGTACGGCCCTCGCACTTGGTTGATAAGATATATATAGTGGTAATGTTTTTCTTCTTTTTTGTTATCCAACTTTTTTGGAAAATTCAAATTATAACAAAATTCCCAGACATGACTGGGTATCACCATTCCAATTTAAGCACTAATAAGACAGTGCATTGTTTGTTGTTGAATAGTGTAATAGGATAGTGTGCATGTCATGCCATCAGAAGGTGTCATGTGTGCATCTGTTGCAACAAACTGTTGTGCTGTTTATCCTCTAGGTGTTTCTGGTCAAACCATGGTTCTATATCAGGACTTTTCTTAATTTACTTCCCAGTAATAATTGTAATAAAGGTGCCTAACATATATAAGTTTCCTCTCAGAACAGTAATTTGTATCAGCTCAGAACTCTTTGTAAGTGAGAGTAAGAAAAACAAATTGCGACATGTAAACAATTTCATTGTAATTTTATTTTAACCTCTTATTTATTGACAAACCTTAAATTAGAACATCATACATTGGGGAAATATCTTTTATTAGACAGGAGAATAACTTTACCTTATTCATAGCAGTAAATGTTCTAATTCACTGATTCGAGCCGTCATTGTGAGTAGTCAAAAGAAGTAAACTCTCCAGATCAACTCTCAGACATAATTTATATGAAAGCCAGCAGTACAGTGTAAGTATACACTCTGTATACTTGTTTTCTTAAAAATATTGGGCAAAGTGAGTTGTTTTATAGTATAAAGCGCAACTTTGGGAATTTTTTTAGTTTGAAGTTTACTAAGTGACACTGATGAATGAGAACATACTAGTAAGAGCTGGTCAAATAAATTTAAATAGTCAATTTGAATGAAGTTAACTTATGAGTGACAATTATTTTTGTTTGGTTCAAGACCCTCAGTGGTGAAAGTACTCCCCTTCCACCAATGTGGCCTGGGTTCAAGTCCCAGACCAAGGTTGAGTTTGCAGTTGGTCCTCATTCTTGTGCGGAAGATTTAATTCAGTGTCCTTCAGAATTTCTCCCTTCACAAAAACCAACATTTCAAATTCCAGTTTGATCTGGAAACAGTGGACAAGAAGAGCTACCAGGAGGAATGTCCACTGCTAAATCCCCTTATTGTTCTTATTATAATTATTAGTAGTAGTAGCAGTAGTAGTATTATTTAAACACTTATTTCACTTTTTTAAAATGCAACTCTGTGGTTGCCAGTACATTACTTCAGTAGAACACCAAATCCATAATGTAATTTGCATAATAGCATCTGGAAGTGGAAGGCTTAACATAAGTAACAACAAAATAACACATCTATCTTAATTTTAGTTTTAGTTTTGGGTTCTTCTGTTTTTTAATTCAAAGCTCTGTTGGTGGTAGTGCCTGTCAGGCATTTGTATTTTGAACCAAAATATTTTCAAAACTAAAATCATATGAAATTAATTCTGTAGCAACCAGAGCAAAGAATTATATTAAGGACCATGTAGATCTTGGGGCGTTAAGGTTAAAAGATTGTCTGTCAGTTACTTTTTTTAATGGCACGCAATGCAGACCTATTTTTTGCCCTATAGTGGACGATAGTTGACTGGAACGAGTGGCTTCGCGGTACAATTACGAAGTTTACTTTGCTTAACTTGGGAAAGGAGAACTTGCAGAAATATTATTAGTTGTCAGAAGACTTCTTTTTCGTATGACGCTATCCAGTGAGATGTTTGCTTGTTAGAATAATTCTAGAAAAGTCGGAAGACAATGCGTAAACTCGTTGCCTTGGAAATTAGCAAGCTACTTTACACATCTACAGTCTCGGAATGGTGAATACTTTGCATGTATCATTGTGGCTTTTTGGTGCTCTTTTCATGAGAAATCGCTTGATAAACCTTTGCCTTTCCTCGTGAAATATGCGTTGAAGGAGTAGTGGACGTGAGACGAAAGCCAAGAGGGGAATTCTGGAGTCATGAACTGGTCATTTCTTAAGACACGTCTACAAGATCGCTTGAAAATTTTTATATCTTCTTTACAGGCAAGTTAAGCTAATTGAGTTATCGTCGCAGATCGGGACAACTATTGGACTCTAATGTCTCTTTTTGCTCGCTCATCGTTTTAAACAGTGAAAGGGATCTTGTTCGCGGGACGGCGTTGAACTCTTCAATAGGAAATAAACAGACTAGCACAACATGCCGCCCAGAAAACCTCCTCATGTCGTTTGCTACATTTGCGGTCGTTTATATGGAACCACGTCGATCTCGCTGCACATTCCAAAGTGTCTGGAAAAATGGCAGATCGAGAACAGTCAACTACCGAGACATTTACGACGAAAGCCCCCTCAAAAACCGGCCGGATGGGGTAACACTGCTTTGTCAAATGACCCGAGGGAAAGAGAATCGCAATTAGATGCTATGAACGACATGGCTTTCCAAGCTTCGCTGATGCAGCTTGTTCCGTGCGAGAACTGCGGACGTACTTTTAACCCAGATCGCTTACCAGTGCATCAGAGAAGCTGTCGACCGAATAATCCTCTCAAGATGTCTAAAAACTTTGATCCTTCGAGAGTTGGGTCAGGAAGGCAGAGTCCACCAGGAGCGGGTGATTACAGCAGGAGGAGCCCCCCACCCCCCAGAAAGCCAAAAACTGTTGTGTGTTTCATATGTGGCCGAGAATTTGGCAGTAAATCTATCAGCATCCATGAACCACAATGCCTGAAAAAGTGGGAGCTTGAAAATAGCCGACTACCCAAGCACATGCGTAGACCACCCCCTGTTAAACCTAACATACTTCCCAGTTTGTCTGGGGGGGAAGACCTCGAACGCAGGAACCAGATGGCGTTTGAAGCCGCACAGAAACAACTGATTCGTTGCACAAACTGCAGCAGGACATTTCTCCCAGAAAGGTTAGAAATTCACATGAGATCATGCAAACCTGGGAGCAAGACGATGCCAGTAAGACAATCAGGTAGGTGTGGTAAAATTAACTTCACCAGGGTTTCATTAAAAAGCTATTTACTGGTGTTTCACTAGTGATTAACTTGTTACTTCTCCTAACAATATCCCATACATCATTCAGCAATCTTGTAAGGAGAATACTCAAACCTATCAGGTAGAAGTTGTTATCTTGATCTAAAACCAAATTCACATGACTAATTAAATATAAGGAAATGTGGAGCAGTTAAAGGGGAAAATTAACAATCAGATCTTGGATGTTAAAGAGTTTTCAGGTTTTTGTTTTGGAAGCCCACAGTGAGGGATAAATGTTTATACTCTTTGTTCTAAACTAAATGTAACTAGTGCACAAGGGGTAGGAGATGCTGAAAACTCCTGATCAAAGGACTATGATTTTTTTTTATGTTGTTTTCTAGGAAAAAAAAAGATATGAATCTTACTAGCTTCTAAAAGATTGTCATGTGCCTCTTAACAGGTTCAGCTCGCAGACTCTCTCCTCTTACCAACCCTGGGGGGATGAATGCTTCCCAAACCAGTCAGTATGGCAGACAGAGCCCGCTTAACAGGTACAGTGATCAAAATAACAACATCAGTCCATTGGCTAAGGACAAGACTTTTGTCAAAAGCAAGTCCTCTCAGAGCAGTATGAGCATTATGAAATCCACTCCTACAACTTCTTCCCAACGCCCTGCAAGGTTACGGCCAATGTCTAATACTCGCTCACCATCTCCATCATACAACCTCACTGGAAATTCTCCCGTCATAGGGAGTCAACCAACAGAGGAGGCATCTGAACCAGCTAACCTGCCTCAGTGTTTTAACTGTGGCCGCTCATTTGCTGCAGATCGCATAGCAAAACACGAAAAGATATGCCGCAAAGCTGGTAAACAAAGAAAGGTTTTTGATGCCACAAAAATGAGAACACAAGGAACTGAGGCAGCTCAGTTTAACAGACCAGGGGCAAGAAAGATGCCTGATCCACCCAAACCTAAGTCAAACTGGAGAAAGAAACATGGTAGGAATTGAATTTAATTAATAAAAATAAATGACACTTTCTTTAACAAATTCCATAACCTTGACTCACAGTTGTGACCTAGCATTAATTTCTCCTAACAACTTTAATTCATTGCAAAGCAGAATGGTGATAAGAAGTGAAATAAGTCAACAACAGAGGAAATTGTTTGATCGACTAGCAAATTCCTGGATTTAAAATCATACTTAAGTAACAAGGGAAGAACAGTGTGGATAAATTTTAAGTGTAAAAGAGTTTAAACAGCTGAACAAGTCTCAGATCTGTGATGCCTAATTAAACACTGCTCTGTACCACTAATTTACTCAGTGTGCATCATTTTATTTTCAAACACTGATTTTTTATTGTCTCCACAATTTCTCTCTCACTTTTGGCAGAGGAATTCATTAATGCCATTAGAGATGCTAAGAAGGTACAAGAACACATTAAGCGCGGTGGCAAGGCATCAGATCTCCCCCCACCGCCCCCCAGTGAGAACCCAGACTATGTGTTCTGCAGATTCTGCCAGCGACGCTTTGCACCAACAGTTGCTGAGAGGCACATTCCTAAATGCCAGAACACAGCAAACAGGCCATCACCTCCCAAGGCGAGGGCCTTGCAGGCAAGTGGTACACGTTATAACTCCAGGAATACTATGTTTTCAACCAAGAGAGTTCATCGTTAGGATGCTTAACTACCTTAAATACCAATGTTAACTATGACAGTCAAAGCAGAACTGTAATTGTCAGGGCAGATTACACAACAAGCCACGGTGAGGTAACATGGAGATGGTTTGTAATAAAACTTTCTTTCTGTAATGTGAAAATTTTTTGACAATCTTTGTCTCCTGTGTCTCCAAAATAAGTTGCACAAATTCTATTTAGTATTTTAATTGGTGCATGTTGCATCATATCACAGCAGCTTGTTGCCTTCTTTCTGTCTCGCTGAATCTCTTCTATCTTAGAGAAGACAATGACTAATTAACTCCCAAGATCTGATTGTTAATTCTCCCTTCTGGCTGCTACACATTTCCTTGTAAATAAGTCATGAGAATTAAGTGTTAAGAGATCTTGCTAAGTTTTTTAAATGACAAATTAAAACAAAAAATATTATATTGACCGCCGGCCAGTTAGCCCAGTGGATAGTGTACTGGACTGTTGTGCGGGAGATGGAGGGTTCGAACCCCGACCAGACCAACACTCAAGGTCTTAAAATAATTTAGAAGAATTTGCTACCTTTCTATAACATCAAGAAATGGTTAGGTATTCTAGTCTTCTCGGATAGGGATGAATAAATGGAGGTCCCGTCTCCTGCAGGGTTGGGGTAGGAGACGTTAATTTCCCACACACGAGATTAATGTGTGATGGATGTCCTCCCCGGGGTGGGATGGGTGGGAAGATAGCAGGTNTTTTCTTCTAGATCATAAGAGCACCCATCATACACAACCTCCATAAATTACCTAGTAGCTAAAAGTATTAATTATAAAAGGTGCACTGAACAAAGATTGATTTATGCACAGAATTGCATTCAAGGCAATGTAAGTAATTGCCTCTAATGTATAAATGTTTAATATATTTGGTCAATTCTTTTATTTATATCTCAGGACAACAAATTCCAACCTGTGACAAATGAAAAAAATATGTCGAGTAAGCTACTCAGGTTGATTAATTTATTTTCATGCCTCCCCCCCCCTGAAAATTAACAGAATCACTCTAGTAAGATCTGTAACATATCTTTATTTCATTTCCTTCTTACAAACTTTCTTATATGCATAACATCATCTTTAAAATCAGTCTTTTTCTCTGTACAATGTAGATATATTATTGTCACTTGATGTAAGATATTGAAACCATACTTTTCTTTAATCTGTCTGTACCTTTACTGTGTCTATAAGCACAACATGTTACTTCCTAAATCCTTTTTGTTTCAATAAAGAACTCCACTGTTTCATTGAACATGAAAAACTTTGTTGAAAGCTGTTTTCTTGGTCATTTTTTCAAGTTGTTGGCCATAGGGAAATAAAATGCTTTTTATTCATTAAATGCCATTCAAACATCTGTCAGTGTCTTAACCATTTCACTTTTAAGATCTCATTAGTACTGGACATTACTATCTGCCATTTAATTCTTATAATGTTAGTTCAGAGAATTTGGTATTGGATTGACTGATTATCCCCTACCAACCTTGTTCCCAGGGATTCTCTGCTTTTCCCTTCCTTAAGAAGAGAGACCCTGAGAACAAGGTTGACCCCCTATGTGACATTTTTCTTTCTTCTCACCACTTGTCTACTTGCTATAGTGTTGATATTGTAAGGAGAATTTCTGTCCTGGTCACACATGAGAGTTAAAGGGTCAAAAAACAAAATTATATTTTAAGGACATGGTTATCAGGATCTTACTTGATCTAGCCTGTCTACAGCCACCCCCTACCCTCCACATGAAAATTGCGAGGGAGCCCATTCCCAATTTTTTTTTGCACACCAGCTGTACATGGGCTCACTTGATTCGGCCTTAGATTTGTTTCTTGGCTAGTAGTATAGAAGCTATGCCAAATTCAATAGCACTTCCCAGTGCACCAAGTGATGGCCAGCCATAATGTAACAACATAAAGGTTCCAATTGCAGGGGCCACTGTTCTCATGAGTGCTTCACTTGTCGCACACAGTCCTAAGAGTAACCCAGTGTCATTTCTGCTGACGGATTTAGTAGCCATCGAAGTTGTCATGGTTCGTGTTATGGAGAATCCTATTATCAAGATTAGTTGGGACACAACATACAAGAATGTATGTTTGGCAAAATACTGCAATAAAAAGAGTGAAAATATTGGTTTTCAAAATTACTAACTGCATTAAGTAGAGTATAAAAAACCGGAGAATTGAGTAGAAATGTCCAACACTATTGCACAGCTATTTGGGGCAGATAATTACCTTTTACTGTAAAAAAAACCGGTTTGACAGGTTGGTTCTACTTGCATGAGTTATTTCAAAGGAGAAAACAAATAAAGCATTTGGATAATAAATAACCTATTAGAAATTTTAGTGTAGCATTGCTAACCATTAAATAGCAAGGTAGTCCGCAGGTAAATCCAAGCATTCTGATTGGTTCTTACTTCATCGGAATTTTGCCACATGGGTGGTTTCCATGGAAATAGTCAAAAGCCCCATATTTTGTGAACAGTCCTCAAATTCAAAGTAAACAAGTTTGGTCTGAGTGCCACAAAATAAACTACTTCCTAAATTCACTAGTACAAGGCATATTAAGGAATATTAACCCCTGGTTGTTTTTGTTGTAGTAGTGTCATTACCTCGGGAAAATATTTCCTCATGCAACCATCACACTGGGTTAATAAAAAGTTAGTATTTTACTGGTTTGTATCTTAATTGTCTCTATTTTAGCAGCTTTTATAGGGCAACACAAAGTAATGATTTGTTATACCAGGTATTATCAAAATTCCCTGTAACATAATTCTGGAGTAACATATATTACTGTAAATGATGTCATGGTGGGAAAAAAAAAACAAAGATTTGAAAAAAAGTAACATATATTGATGCCTAATTAAACACTGCTCTGTACCACTAATTTACTCAGTGTGGGTCATTTTATTTTCAACACTGATTTTTTATTGTCTCCACAATTTCTCTCTCACTTTCGGCAGTGGAATTCATTAATGCCATTAGAGATGCTAAGAAGGTACAAGAACACATTAAGCGCGGTGGCAAGGCATCAGATCT